TCCTTACCTTTTAAACATAGGAAACAGTTTGGTTTTATGTGCAATTTCAGCAGCAAGTAAAGAAAAAGATCTGGATATCTGAAATTTTTTCACAGGTGACACATTAAAATACTTTAAATGTGCAACTTTGAATGTTTCTGGCTGATTTGGACTCATCTGGGTTACATTTTGGGCACTGTATTTGTAGGCAAGGTTGTGGAGGTATGGTTTGTAAGGGCCCGAACTAGGGTTAGGGTTAGGGTTGGACAACACCTAGATTTTTTGTAATGCCTTTACTGTGCTCTAGTATGCATTTGGAATGCAGGGAAAGTGTTGGTTTTTTGTTTCCTCGATTAAGAATTTTGGCCCAATTTTTCAGTTTTTTCTGCTTTCTGCACATACTTATCAGTTTAAAGAATGAACAATGTGATAATACACTTTCTAAATGCTATTCTCTCCTATGTTTTTCTAAATGCTACTCTCTCTAAAACCAAATTACAATGATATTTTTGGCCAGACATTGGTGGTAATTGTTATCATTACCTTCAAAAGGCACAAAACAGTTAGGTTCTATACGCAATTTTAGCAGCAAGTAAACAAAAAAGATCTGGAATTCTGAAACTTTTTCACAGCTAACACATTAAATAGTTTAAAACTGCTACTTTAATTGTTTCTGCCTTATTTCGAGTCATTTGGGTAACTCTTTGACAGCTGTATTTTTAAGCAAGGTTTTAAATGTTTGGGCTGTGTGGATCCGATCTAGGGTTAAGGTTTGAACAAGACCTAATCATTTTGTTTTGCCTTTTCTGTGCTTTAGGATGCATTTGAAATGCAAAAGAGGTGATGGTTTGTTGTTTCCTCGAAAAAGAATTTTGGTCAATTTTGCAGTTTTGGCTGATCTGTGCATGTCACTCAAAAATGGTCAATAATGAACAGTGTGATAATGCACTTTCTAAACGCTAAACTCGCTTATAAATTGCATTTAAAACCAAAATAAAATGATAGTTTTGGCCAGACTTTAGTGGTAATTATAGTTCTTACTTTCATAAGCATCAAAAATTTAGATTTTATAATGTATACAATTTCAGCAGCAAGTTAAAAAAATGATCTGGGAATCTTAAAACTTTAACACACCCTAGTGCTATTTAAGTTTAGTTTTTTCTGTAGTCTTCTTTTATAAAACAAATATTGTACAGTACAGTAAATATTTAAGTAAAAAGTAACAGACAGAAAAGATTTTGTAAATTTGGATCTAATTGACATTTTGATTTTAATTTGCTTCAACCAAAGCAGTATGTTTATTATCAATTTCAATAACTCATTTTTCAATGTATTAGCAAATTTCGAGGGAAAAAAAGTATTGATTTGTACTGCATTTTTTTTCGGTCTTTTCAAAAATTGCACACTTCATATAAATTAAAATATTATTGTTTTATTTTTGGTCAGAAAATGTTTGTTGTAATTGCATTGTACTAAACTGCAGCATTTTGTTTTATTAAGTTACATTTTTATTTTTCCCCTATATAATTTGTGCCAAAGAGCATTCAATATTTTATGGTCAGGTTCAGACAAAGAATAAATACATCAAATGATAAAACTAAGCAGCTGTAACGTGGATTTTTTTCCAAAAAACATATGAAAATAAAATATAATTCAGTTATACAAATACAGATTTTACCATTTTTTATCCTGTCCTAACGAAGCCGGATAGCTCCCAAATATACAGTATATCGTTGAACACTTTACATAATGAGCTCTTGCACTTCTAAGTATGCACTTAGGATATAAAATTCAAGCTTTAGTTTGTTTTAAACATGCTTTTGTGAGATGTCATTTGTTTTCATAAGGTTGTCATTATGGATCAAGCTTGTCTACTTTATTGTGACTGTACCATATCTCAGTTAAGCTTTTTTGTTGACAGGTGCTTCAGAAGGTTGTGAATATTTCAAACCCAGTTACGCATACTGTAGATATGTACAGTATGTAGAGTACAAAATTATTACGAGGTCTCAGTGAAGAATATCCATGTAACTCTTTTCTGAGTCTCTTTCAGTGTCATTTCTGCCCATTCACAAGCCCATGATCCCACAAATCTACTCTGTGAATGTCAAGGAAATTGAATGAATGGGTTACAGAGGCATTGTTCTCGCAGGTGATTGCAAGTCTCTAGCATCACCCTCGACAATGTTTTCACACGTCAAATTGCCGCAAATTCTA